ATTTTCGGTGCTACCTCATATCCACAGATCGATTTCTTCTTAGGCTCAGGTTAAAAATTACCCTACAATGCTTGTAAATCAGCAGCAACTTAGGAGCACTCATCTTGGATTTGTTTAATATTTCGAACGATAATTCGCTTTCCCATTGGATAGCTTTGATGGTCGGCCAGGTCTTCTTTATTTGAATCGTATGATTATTTTGGGTGATCTTTAGAATATGGTAACTGGTAGTTTGGCGACATTGGAGGTGATAAAGGTTACTACTGGGACTTGGTAATAATGTGAGCAGTACTCAGTTCCGATTACGCATTATTTGTGTGAGGGAAATGAGATCATGGGATATGTCATGTGATATTAATGGACGAATTACGGTTCTTTAATCGGAAAAGGGGGGAATTGGAAAAATCTGTGGCTGTATATTATTTGTATTAGCTTCATTGTGTGTTGTGTGAAGTAGGGTTGAAAATTTTGGATTGTATGGCGCGTCTAAAGTGAAAAATCTATGATGTTTTGAAGATGAAGGTTTTAAACAATCTTGCTGTGAACCAAAAAATTATTTTAAAGATCGGAAACAGGTGCACATACCAATACATATTGAGGGCACGTGGAGTGCTATAAAAACGCCATTCCAAGGCATTGTGATAAAGAGAATTTTGCTTTTTTTTAGCGGAGGCTGTGGAGGAAAAATTGCAGAAAAATGTCAATAATTGTATTGAATACATAATAAAGTGTATCCACCATGGAAGCAAGATTCTGAAAAGTTAGGTAAGTTAGTATTTTAATATTTGAGGTATTATTTTTTACATTGTTCTAAATGTAAGGTGGCAGTAATTAATTGGATTTGGGAAAATTTATTAGCAAATTTTATTAAAAATTAGGATTGTAACTATTTTTTAAATTTGTATATATTTTAATATTTTTTTATTTATTATATTTTAATTAAATGATAGTTATTTTGTGAATTTTTGTTGTAGGATTTGGTATTAGTTTTTAGTGAAGTAACGGATGGAAATATAAAATTTGAGACTAGTATTTGTCAGTGTGGTATGAATTCGTTGGGACGTTATAAATAATAGATATTTAGAGGTTAAAGTTTTGGATATTTTATTTATTATACGGGAAATGTTCATATTTGGAAAGGGTATATACTTTTCGTTATTAGGTATTTCGTATATGTTCTTTTACGGTTTAAAGATTCAGAAAATTGTCATGTATTTTCGTGAAATTTTTCTAATTTATGAGAAAAAAGCAGTGTACATGGATATAGTGAAGAGTGTGCGCAATGCCATTTTTGTGTAATTCTGGGATGTTTTTTAAGTAAAATAGTCGACGTTACATGGTTTATCTGTATGTGTTATTTTGAAAAACGCGTAAGGAGTATGGTATTGTGCACTTTTTCCCAATTTTGCAGTGAATATTTGTCATGATTAAGCAGTTTTGTAATAAAAATTTCTAGCATAAGTGTAATTGGCTCGTAGATTGTGGAAGAAGTGTTCAGTAGATAAAAGAAGAAACAGTGTTTTACTTCATGAAGACAAAATGGCGGCAGGAAAAAAAAAATAGAGGGTTGCTATAGGAGAGTTGTCGCCAAATTTTCGCCAAGAAATCACCAAGTTACCATAATCTAAGATCAACCGATTATTTTTATATCGTTTAATGATATTGAAAACTGTTGATGACTCAAGTAACTGTTTCAGCAGTTTCTCTAACAGATTTTCCACGTTCATATGCACATTAATAACTATTTTCGAATTCAGGCAAAGTTTCTTTTTAGCATTCATGGCTACACAGAGCTAAGAAACACAAAAATTCTTAAAACAAACTGGAGAGAATATGCAGACCGATTTTATAAAATTATGCCATGGTTTTGAGTAAAATAAAAACACCCAAAAATATTTTTATTGTAGTATGTAGTAGTATCTAATGGTGTTCCATCACTTATGTGAGCCATTTTTTGCTCCGTTCTAAACATTGTATTTTTTTTAAATTAATATTTAATATTTTGAGAAAATGTATGTTATGTAATAATTGTTACTAAATTTAAGTATGAAACACACCCACAAAAAATGTTTACATGTTTTTTAATTAATTTTATTACAGTTTCCTTTTGTAAAGCACAAGTGTCCCATCACTTTTGTGAGACACTGTAAATTTGCAAATGCGAGCAACAACAATGATATTTCAACAAAATGAACGCAAGAGAAATGGTTGCAAACTTCGAACAAGCGAATATGATAAATCGGCTGGGTTACCAGGTTGAACTATTATCGCCATAGTTGGCGATGTTTACATTTACCGGGTTCTCTGCGGAAGTGCTTCCGAATTTCTGATACACAGTCTTGTGCGTTGGAGATAAAAATGTTTCTTTTTTCCATTCCTCGATCTGAAATTGTTGAGTTTGTTAATGAAAAATTCTTTCATGTCTGACAAAGTATTAAATAGATAATAAAGCAAATTTTGTTTAGAGTAGAGAGAAGGGTACCCCTTGTATTATCGCAAAGTTGTTGTTTCATTTATGGTAGCCTGAGTAGTTGAATGTTATGGAAACCTTATTATGACGTAATCGGTTGCATGATTCGTAAGGGCTTGTGATGCATATGTGTTGGTTAGGAAGTATATTGCTTGTTTTGTGGTTTAGATGGTAAAACGCCTGAATGTGGTAAGATCAATTTGAAGTTTCTGTATGATTTAAAGAAAGGAGAAAAGAGCATTACTTGACTGGTGTGTAAATGAAGATTTACTTAGTAGTCATTATTAAGTGTCCTGTTTGTTGAAAGAAAATGTGTATGGTCGAACATCGCTACGGAGGATATCTCTTGCTCTTATTTTGGGAATTTATGTGTCAATGCTGGTATACAAATTCTAGTTCAGATAATTTTAGGAAGTTTTTGGATGCTGTTAAAGAATTTTGTTTGACTGAAGATGCGCTAATACGAAAATAAGGAAAGTGGATAGTTCCTTTGTGTAGTGCAAAGATGAATTTCCTTTTTTATGTTATTTCATTGTTTGATTTAAAATGTAGTTTATTGAGATTATATATTTTTTTGTTGGCTGCTCCTTTGACTTTTTAAGTGAATCTAGTTTGATGTGTATATGGACAAAGTCAAGAGAGTGAATAAAGCATAGTATGTGAAATTCTATGATGTTTTTTGAAGTGACAATAGGTCGATGTATACATGGATAAAGTCAAAAAAGTGCACAATTCTGTGAATTTTTTTTTACATGAAAGTAGGTTGATGTGTACATGGATACCGAGTTTTTGCAATTCTTTGTCTTGTTATTTTCGCTTTGTGTAGCGACAATTTTTGTGTCGCTACACAACCCAAAATAACAAGCAAAAAATTGTACAAACTCGGTAACCATTGTACTACCAAGTTTCGCCAAGGGTTACCTGTAAATATACTTTTACCTATATTTCAAATAAGGGCTTCCAGATGCCCATATTCGGTGGAGGATTATGTTATTAAAAATTTGATGGCACTTGGTATCATTGTTTTATCACAGTGCAAGAAACACACATACATTTATGCAGATTCTTCATTATTTAATTTATTTAAATATAATACAGGGCTGTAATATTTGGTGGCAGCAGTTTGAAAAGTGAATCAACGCAAAATGCCAAAACAAAATTAATAGCCCTTCTGGGCTAACGCCCTTTGGGCTAAAAAAAGTTGCAAAGCAGTGAATGGTGAATAATTAACATAAAAAATAATTGGCAAAAATTTAAAATAATGATATGTTCTTTAATCTTTTGTAAGGAAATTATATAATATTAAAAAAAGTTTATGATTTCGAAGAAGAGGAACCTGTGTGATTGTATACAAAATCTTCACCAAGCCAAGGTTGCTATTTGCCTAGTTTTAACAAATATCAACTTTCGCATCTCAGATTTTTGTGTTATGCAATTTAGTGTAATGATAAAAATTATGCCTTTAAAATATTTATCACATAGTGTATAAATTAAACTCTTAATATAATAACAAAATATTATAACTGGAAACAGATCATATGTTACAATTTTATTCAGATGAAATGAAATTTGTCGAAATTCAAAATTAAATAACTGGTTGCCAAAATTGTGAAGATTAGATAGCTTTGCATGAGGCATCCAAAGTCAAAACGTTTTTTGGGGGGGAAGTGCAGAATAGCCCAGTGCTTCGTGCGTTTCACAAAATTGCAGGCTTGAAAAAAATTGCACAAATTCGCTATCCATGTACACATCAACCTATTTTCACTTAAAAAAAATCAGAGAATTGCACGAACTTGGCATTGCGCACTCCATTTTGTCCATGTACACATCGCTAAGCACCATATAAGTGGGCGATTCTGCACTTTACTCCTTTTTTGTTGTGGATACATATATAATTTTTTAATTACTTTATAAATATTAATTGCTAATAATTTTACACATTTATTATTTCACTATTGTAATGCTTTCTTACCATTCAGTACACCATTAGAATGCTTTCTTGTTGACACAGCTGCTGCAGAAGCCTTTGGCAATATTCAAATTAACCCATTTGATAATTGGGTAATAAGTTTGCCAATTTTGGCAACTAAATGAAGTGGCTCTTTTAACATAAAATTGGCATCAACTTTTGTAAATAAATACTATGCATCTATCTGTTCTTGATATAAAATTGTTTCGATATTTTCTGATTACCTGTCCCACCCCGGGCTTTTGAGAGCATTTCCAAACTCATTGGCAATTAATTTTTTGGATAGTTAATGCATGAAAATCAACAGCTGTTTTGAAAATGAAAGCATGCTAAAAATTCTATACAAGAGCAGTCAGTCAATAAAATTAAAAAGACAAAAAAATATTGGTAATAAAATTTATACCTTTTTTTAGAAATCCATCTTTTGGGGGGATAATGTGAGTTGCCTCATAACTAATTGTGTAACATAGTGCTCTGTCTCGTGAATACTTTTTTTTTGGAAAAGGGAGGATGATAATCGGGAAGTATATTTTTAAACTATAGTACTTGATGATAGTATAAATTAAAGTTAAGCACCAAGTAGGAGGATAAGTAAGATTTGATGAAAATATAGTTTTAATGCAAGACTGTTCATTAAAAGTTTGTTATTACAGATATTTTAGCAGAAAGACCACGTTTAAAAAGGACTGCTGTTCCCAGCTTGTTTTTGCCATCTGCTTCCATTGATGATGAAGTGATAACCAGTGAAAATGAGAAGACGGAGCAAAATAAAAGGTATCACCTGTTTGACAAATTCCATCTTCTACAAATACAAGGTAACCAAAAACGTTCTTGCCGTTTCTGATATGACATTGGAAGAGTGAATCCTAACATAAAAATAGTTGCCAAACCTGGCGATGAAGTGGTTAGGATGGTAGGCTGGACATTGACCAAGAGTATAAAAGCATGTTGCATCGGTACTTCAAACACAACTCACACACTGACTTAATGAAATGGACGTGTCAATGCCGCTCGTTCGGAGTTGTTTGCTGAACGATTTTAAAGTAAGCCTGTCAGCAGCAGAATGAAGTCATCAAATTTGCAGGCCTTTTGGGATGATGCCGTTAATAAACGAACCACTAGGCAATGGTTCCAGAAGTTCAGGTCAGGGTATATCTCTTAGTGATGCACCATGCAGTGGTTGACCACATGCGCTGGACGATGAGAGCCTGAGAGCAGCCATAGAGAGTAACAGTAGCCAAACATGTGTGAGCTTGCTGCACACTTCTAGGTATCTGATGAAATGATCAGACTCTATTTGCACCATATAGGAAAGGCATACAAGCTGAGCAGTTGGGTACCGCACTCACTGTCCGATGCAAACAAGCATTAGCGTGTTGCTGCCTGTTTGTCACTGCTTACATGGAACCGCGGTGCATCCATATTTGATCGAGTCCTCACCAGCGATGAAAAGTGGGTCCAGTATGAAACACCTAGGCATTCCAGACATTGGTTGTCACCACGTGCCCCTGTGCATTGCACTGCAAGACCTTTCCTCCACCCGTTCGAGATCATGCTCTGTGTCTGGTGGACTAGTCGCCAAGTGGTGTACTGTGAGCTCCTGCCAGTGGGCCAAACCATCACAGCAGGCAGGTACTTGTAACATTTGGAATGTATGTTACAAGTACCTGCAGGCACTGATGCATAAAGAGCCAGCATTGGTTAATCGTAAGGGTGTATTCCTCCTGCATGACAATGCGAGGCTGCATGTGGCTCAAGAGGCCTGGAACACCTTCCAGCGACTGAGCTAGGAGACACTACCTCATCTACCATACTCCCCAGACCTCGCACCAACAGACTACCACCTTTTCCGTTCCCTGGACAACCATCTTTGTGGGAAATCCTTCAACAACCGGCCAGACCTCGAAAAGGTCCTCACTGACTTCTTTGCATCCAAGACTCCCGAGTTTTAAATGTCATCTCACAGCTAGCCACTTGTTGGCAAAAGGCACTGGATGCTGATGGTGATTATTATTTGTTTTATGACTTTCTTTCTGACTGTCCAAAACTGTAAGAACATTTTTGGTTTCCTTGTACTTTTTGTTACTTTTTATTATTTGTTTTGATGAATGGTAAATTGATCACTGATTTTTTTAACTCATCTTTAGTAAAAATAAAAAGCAGTAGTTTCATGAGGATGAAGTGAAAAAGAATCATACAGGATTGTTCCTGGGTTGTCAGTTGGTTTATGGTAAACTTTATTTTGAATTCCTGAGATTCAAGAGGTCAAACATTCAAATGCCCTTATTAATTTCTGTATTAATCGTAAATTAGGAAAGTTTTACAATGTAAATTTTAAAAAATGTTTGAGTTTGTCATCTGAATATTTTTAAAGGACAAAAGACATGAACACCTTTATTCTTTCCAGAAAATGGATTTTGGGGGAGAATTTTGAAAAAACATTTTTTATGATTGCAAAATGAAAAGGCTTTGCTGTGTGTAGATTTGCCTGTGTTCTCTAAAACACATAATTCTGTATCTTTTTTACCCTGTGCACACCTTTCCTCGTTGCTAGATGATCTTTCCCACTCCTTTCCAAAACTCGAAAAATGCATTTATGTTTATTTAAATTTAGATTATTTTTTAATATATTTTATGCATTAAATAAGAAAAGTGTAGAAAATATTTATAAATATCAAAACTTGAATAAAAATACCTTTTTATATTCATAAAATAAAATTAAATACCTAAAAGTTAAATAAAAGCCTGACTGCATACTCTCCTGAAAGTAGGAAATCACCCCAGGGAGAAATTCCTAACCCTTGCTCTAAAAGCTATGTATGAAGTAGGAAAAGATGAATTTGGGAGTTTTTTTATGTCGGTAATGTTTTTGGCAGAAAACTTTCATTGCAACCAGATAATAAGTATTGTGTGAATATGAAACATGTTCTGTCTCACAATATTGCCACACTACCTGGGAAACCGGAAAAAGTCGGGAAATTCAAAAATTGACCAAAAAAAAAAAAAAAGTAAGGGAATTTCATACAATGATTCCGCCAAAAAAAATCGAGTCTTGCATCAATGTTGGAAGAGATCACTTTATTGGCGAATTGTGTATCGCATGAGCGTCATTTGGGGAGCTGGCATAGAGCCAGTTTTCCCAGCTCCTTTTAGAAAAGCAAAGCAAGTTTCCTGCAACTTTGGGTTTCCAGTAACCTCGAGAATCACATGTGCAGTGCATGTTGAACTAAAGAAAGTACTTATTCTCGTATAAAACAAATAGGTTTAATCTTAGTATCTGGTAACATGAAGGTTAGAATCAAAGAATATGTATTGTAAAGAAGGAAAACCCGGAAAAGTCCGGAAAAGAATCTGGAAAAGTCCTCTCTACAGCAGACGTGCCTCTGTTCCAACATAGAGGGAAACAGCTGTGCATGTGCGAAATATCTGTTGCCAAAGCTCAAAGCCGATGTCAAAGTTTGAAGATCACATTATCAGGAGTTCATAAAATGAATATCATTTAAAATTTCTTTAAACTTTAAAGGAAAAGAAAATATTTTTTGGAGCAAGTAAATTAATTCATGGATTAGTTATTTTTAAGGGGGGGGAAACCTACGAAAATCCATTTTTAGATTATTGTGAAAAATCCAAGAAGAAACGTTTTGTCAATAAATTGTTCGCAATAATTTAAGAATGGATTTTCGTAGTTTTTCTTTTTTTGTCAAAGAACGTTTCTTCTTAACACGTGTTCCTCAATTTCCTGTACACATCACGGAGAGGGAAATTCTGGCTGCCAGGTTCCATCGCCAGATCCCTTGACAAATTTCTCCTTCGCTTTCTAGTGGCGTAATAGCATTACATCTATGGAACCTTTTCTTCTTTACATAGCCGTTCTTTGTTTAGAATAGGGTTCTTCAACCTTTCATGCTCGAGGGCCACATCAATAAATTCACAAAGATCCGTGGGCCACATGTCTGTCAAAAAATAGTGTAGTCAGAAAATTTATATAAAAAATGACTACAATTTAATGTGACTTATGCAAGACTTACAATTGATTCTAATTGAAGAGATAGTGTTACAGATTTGTACACTGGTTATCATAAATTAAATTTTGAAAAATCACAAAAATCATGATTCCAAAAGTCAAATGGAAATAGAGTTAAAATGTTTTGCAACTTTTTTTAACTATGAAAAAAGTATAAAGATGATTGTACAAGATGTTACAAATGTATTTACAAAAAAAAAAAAAAAAAAAAAAAAAAAGCTTGCGTTACTAGCGGTAGACGGTAATTACTTTAGTTTTAATGTGAAATTTGACATTGCTTTTGATTGATTAAATCTCAATACCAGTTAAATCTTGTTGTTGCAATTCGGAAAGTTTCCTCGAAATGTCCGTCTGGTCAGCCGTGTTCTTGTTTTTTTTTTTTAGGATTTTTCATTTTATAAAATGCTGTTCACATATGTAGGTGCTGCCAAAGATAGAAGACATGAAGTGTTCATGTTTACGAATTCCTGGATACTTGTCTTTGGTCGCGTACTTCGAATAAAAATCAATTAATGCAGGATTTTCAAGAAACTTGAATTTTACTGCAGAGTCACACTGTAAATCTCTAAATTCTAATTGAAGTTCCTGTGGAACACCTCCAACGTCTATTGAAAATGCGAGAAGGACATTCTCATAAAAATTTCATTTTCATGAAAATCGGAAAGTCTGCTTTTGAATTCCTCTTTCGACTTGGAAATGCGTTGTACATAATTATTTGAATTCGATGTTTTGGAGTTCTTCACACACTCCATCAATTTTGGAAAGTGAGTGAAATTCTTATTTAACAACTGACTTTTCCACAGGATTAATTTAGTCTCAAAAGCTTTCACAAGATAATAAAGATTATGAACAAGTAGATCTTTTCCCAATAAGCAGTAGTTCAAATCATTGAGATAACCTGTAGTATCGACAAGAAATGCAAATTCTCTCAACTTTTTCTCATCACTGAATTCATGAATAGATTTCCCTTTAGATTCCATGAATTGCTGAACTTTGCTGTTCAAAGAAAACAGGCGCTGGAGCGTCTTTCCTAGGCTCAACCAGCATACTTCCGCATAATACGCAACATCACCATATTCAGCTTCCAAATCACTCAAGAACTGTTGAAATTGCCTTGACCAATTTTACAACATTCATCAGATGTTAAAAGTTTGTGAATGATTTCTTGCACAAATTTTCTTGGTCTATGATGCAGTGAAAAGTCATCATAGTATTATTTCCACTTGCCTTCACATCAGATTTGAGTAATGTTGTTACTCCTATTTTCTCTCCAATCATAGATTTAGCACCATCTGTGGTTATAGCAGATACGTTACTGAAATCTAAGTCACATTTATCCAAAATTTGTGTCAGACACGAATACGAATCTGTTCCTCGTGTTGTACCTTTAAGGGCAACGACACTGGCAAGTTCCTCTATCACTGTGAAGTCTCTATCAATGCCACAAATAAAAATGGCTACTTGTGCAAAGTATCTGTTGCATCTGTGTATTCATCAATAGCTACAGAATAAAATTCAAATTTTTTGCAATTGGATTTACTAAGTATATCTGTCGCCAGATCCTCTATCTGTCTCGCTACTGTCACACCAGAGAAGTTAATATTCGATATGGACAAAGCACATCAACTGCACTCTAAAGACATTCTTTTACAAATTCTTCATCAGCAAAGGGTTTTCCACACTTAACAATTTTTTCTGCTATCATGTAACTAACATGAACACTGTTTTCAGATTCTTTATTCGCTGTGGTGAAGAAAGACTGCTGAAAATTTACTTTTGATTTTAATTCATTCACCTTATTACTTCCAAAATGACCTCCCAATGCAGAAAATTTCTCATTGTGCTTTGTATCATAATATCTCTTAATGTTGTATTCATTCATCACAGCTACATTGTTGTTGCAAATAAGACAAACTGCCTTACCTTTATGTACAACATAAAAAATAAAGATCTGACTATTTTTCTTGAAAGAATCACACTTTTCCTTCAAATTTTCTTTTTTTTTTTTTTTTGTTAACGTGGCTTGCCAATGTATACTCATTCAAAGACCATAAATGCATTATCAGGAGTTCACATTATCAGGTCTTCACCAAATCAAACAGGATGTTTATGATCACTGTTCCGTTTGACAAGAAATTGCAACATTAGGAGATATAGAATTCTCTTAATGTATTGCCCTCCCCCTCTATAGTAGCTGCACGCTCAAGGTCACTGGCGAAAGATTGACATCTGTTGCAAACCTGTTAGAGATAAGAATCTGCTCTGTTTATGGAGTTGAGATTTTATGCTCAGTTTTTCTATTTTTAAAATTACATAAGATAAAATGAAATTTTTGAAAAATTCACCATTTTCAGAAACTTTTCTCTCTAATAATATCAGGCATATCAATGAAATGTTTTAAATATCAAGAATAAGAGGGGAAAAAAAAAAAACAGTTTTTTATGAGAAAAAGCTGACAAGGCAATTTTTCTATAAATCAAAATTTCTTTAAATTCTTCAATTTTTTTTTTTTTTTTTTTTTCAAATTCCATTGTGGGGCCACCAAAACGCCTTCAGCGGGCCACAGGTTGAAAAAACCTAGTTTAGAATAACCTCCATGTACGGTACACACGGGATTTGGAGACTTTATGATGAGCAGTAAACGGGTCATTTTGGCCTTTTTTTCCCCCTTTTTAATAACTGCCTTATTTGTTATTTTGCAGTAAAATAAAAAGATAGTAATCAGTCACCTAGGCTAACCATGTAATATAACTATATTCGTAAAATATCGTTGATTATTCTAATTCAATTTTTAAGTAATTATCTTTATTTTTATGTTACTCATATCATTTAATGTTGCTTCTTCCCTCTAAATTTATTTATTATTAGTAAATAATACTTCCTAATATCAGTAAATTTTCTCTAGCATAATCCTGAAATTAATTCTAGCAGTATGATGACATACCATCACGAAATTTAATGCATATATTTTTTGCTTATGGATGATGTGAAATAAATATAAAATGCCTCAATTTATTTTAAAAATATCATTAAATAGATTTCTTTCTTTCGTTTAGCTGGAAAAAAAAAAAAAAAAAAAAAAAAAAAAAAGCCTTCTTTTATTAAAGATTGGGCAGATTCTAATCTCAATCTTTAGTGGAGAAAACAACTCCTATTACAGTTATAATAGTAATGCTTAGGGAATATAAGTCGTATGTAATTGGAAAATTTTCGTGTTTTCAAGTAATACCATAATTAATTTACTTCTTAGCACAGCCAACAGGCATTATGCAGATAGACTGGAATTTTCTTGAAACACACCTGGAAAAGTCAGTGGCTACCCTGGTCTCAGTATAAACTGTTTGAAATTTAAAATAAAGGCCTTTTTTTAAATCATAGTAAAAAATTCTGTTGTTTACCAAGGAATTCATATTTTGAACATTCAGGAAATATTATCAGCAAAAGCCTATTTTGCTTTCTCAAAATGCAATGTGTGCAATTTAAGATGTTGCTCTTAAATTACTCTCAATCTCACTGGAAAATACAAAGGATGTTAAACATATTTTGATTTCATAAACAGAACAGTGTCTGTAGCTTAAATTATAAACATATATTGATCACAAGTATATTTGTACGATCCGTTGTTAAAAATAGTGGACTGTAAATTGACTTGATATTACTCATTAGACCCAAAAAAACTCAGAATCATAACGTGACGAAACTTCTTTATTGACTTTCAAACAGTAAGTTAGTTGAGGAACGGCGAAGACCACACTGCAAACCCGAACTCAGTAGCGGCTTACCAATCAAACTCAGAGAACCTCTGCTTAGTTGAAACTCCAGTAATTCACAGCAAACCTCAAGCTCTAAAATGCGAGCTCTAAAAACCTAACAAATTTGCGTCTGCCCCGCTCCTCGGTACAAGAGAAAGAAATACAATTTGCATAACTCGAACATACTCCAGCCTTGAAGTCCCAAGGAGGTTCAAACAATAAATTTAACTTGTTGAACTGAATAAACCTGAAAAATAAAAATTAAAGTTTCTAAATCAGGAATTAAATGCTATGTGCTTTGCTATAGGTCTTTTTATTTCACCATCGGAAGTGCGTAAACTCACCAATCAAACTTTTTCATCAAGACCAGGATACACTTTGATAATTCTACCTAATTTCCAACGTAGCGGAGGTAGTTTTCATTCTTAATAAGAACCATATCACCAACTTTCAGATCTTGCTGCAATCTAGATAAATACTCACTGCTCCAGCTCTTCCAGAAATGTTGAAATAACCTTTGCACATTCCTCGAACGATCAATGCAGCTTATGGTTTCTTGAATCAGGTTAGATTCTGGAAAACCTCAGAATCTAACTTGACGGAAAACTTCTTTATGACTTTAAACAGTAAGTTAGTTGAGGAACGGCGAAGACCACATGCAAACTCCGAACTCGTAGCGGCTTACCAATACAAATCAGAAGAACCCCTGCTTAGTTGAAACTCCAATAATTCACAGCAACCTCAAAGCTCTAAACGCAAGCTTTAAAAACCTAGCAAATTTGCGTCTGCGCCGCTCCTCGGTACAAAGAAAGAAATACAATTTGCATAACATCAAACGATATTCATAAGATTACAGTAAACAACGCTTTATCATAACAAATTTCCCTTGAGCATAAATCAGCAAACATTGAGAACAAGAAAGCACAAGTTCACTTGTAGAATGCATACTTTTTTTTGTTGCCCGTTTGAAAATAAAGCATATTTTACTTGAGGTTGAACATTGACTATTGCCAAGGCTCTAGATGGATAATCTTCTTTATGGATTTTGATTTACATGAAAAGTTTTAATCTGAAACGGACTTAATCTTACAAAAATAGTGTTTTAGGTCAAAATGTAAGGATTCTGTAAAATGCACAATATACCTTGTCAGTATTGGCATAATCTTCTTTTCTAACATTGGTAGTTGAGAACACACATGATGACAACTGCATTTTATGTGGACATCATTGCTGACCAGTTACATTCTTTCATGGCTTCCATCATCTGTTCTAGAAATAGACTCTACCAGCAGGACTGAATGTACTACTTGCCAAAAGGCTAAATTTCGAAGAAACATGTAAATGCATTTCAATTAATTTCTTGTCCTGTTAACTTCTTAGATATAAAATTCCTGTTGGGAACATATTGAAATTTTGCAGTATGCTAACTTGGAGTTCATCAACTGCATTAAAATTTAAGGGAACTTCTGGACCTCTTGTAAATCTGACATAACATTTCTGTGGACACTTATCAAGAACTTGTTGAATCCATTACATGAGGGGATACATATATATTATATGCCAAAAATGAAGCAGCATGATATTATCAGGATGGTCATAATGTTTTGGCTAATCCATGTATATTAATATTCAGTTAGTGCTGTACATAGTGATTAATTCTTTAATCTGATGGTCTGACTTTCATTCATATCATTTATATACATGTAGCATATTCTTTAAAAGCTATAAAGCTTTGAAATATTGATTTTAGTCATGTGTATCAAAATATTAAATTTCTTTAAAAAAGTGCTGAATTTTATGAAAGCAGTTTCAACTAATTAATATATTTTAAGTAAATTATTTATTAATATATTACTTTAGTTCAGTTTTGATGTTTTGCATGATAAGATTAAATTTTGTAATTTTTATTAATTGTGTATTTAACATTAAACTTTCTCTTTCAGAAAGAAAAATCTTGCATCTGAAGAGACGGAGAAACCAGAATTTTGTGAAAGCAAAGTATTGAAAGAAGAAAGAAATATAGTAGCTGAAGCTTTGCTTCAGCTTTCAGATGTGAATTCTGATAGTAACTGTGCGTAAATATCCTTAATTGAGCTTTATTCATGTTAGTTGAGAAGAAAACGGTAAAATCATTCTAACGAGGTTGATTTCACTCTTAAATTGTTGGATTAGTGTATATCATTGTGCTGATAAGATGAATTTTCAACTAATCCAAAAACAATTTTTTTTTTTCATTGGTGAAGATACTTCATATTACAAACATGTTAAGGAATTTTTATGGAGTACTATTTTGTAGGCTTAACCACAAATGAATGAACATCTCCTTTGTTACCATGAAGAATTCAACTTATTTTGCTGATATATTTAAAAAAATAGATAATGATAAGGCTGTAGTCTGCCAGAAAATTCAAATGTCTAAACTCAAAATGAAGTATTATTGCCAGTGACTAAAAGAGTGCATGGAATTAAATTTGTACATCATCAGGTAACATAATTATGCATTTGAAGAAAAAATTACTTTAAACATCTGACAAGGAAATGTGTTGATAAAGGCTGGTTGTGGAAATATTAGAATTATGCTTATGCGTTTCATAATATATTGTTTTTAAGAAAGGACATTTGTGATTAACATGACATTAATATTATTCTGCTTTTCTCCCCAAAATTAAAATAATTATAAACTTGGAAAATATATACTAGTGCTGGGTATTTCGTAATACAGAAAATAAATATATTTTGTTTGTTGCAAGTTGGCAATATTTCTCATATTGTGTGATTAATATAATACATGATTTAATAATTGTACCTGTATTTTTGACAAGATAGTGATTATGTTGTGCCTGGCTAATTGATGGCCCATGCATGGCCAAGTGGTTTAAGATGCTGAACATCATTAGTTTGATGAAAGCTCAAATCCAGCAATGCAAAGATGATACATTGATGTTTTTATAGTTTTTCTCATGTGTAACATGCATATGGACCAGTTTCCCACAGAAAATCTTCCTCAAAAGAAACCTTCTGCTTAGGTAAATAGTTCTCATGTGCTTTGTTGTATTTAAGCAGCATAACCTGACTAATTGAGTTGTAATTAAATTCAGATTAAAATTTTGAAGAAAATATTTCCCCTCCTCTATTTTTTTTTTTTTTTTCGTGTGTGTAAAGCATTGCACACAGCGGTATTTTCAAAGGGAATGATGCCTCATGGAAGATTTTTAAAGGAAACTGGCTTATATTCACATTACACAAAGCATGAAATGTCCATGTATGCAGCCTGTTCGTCAGGATTCAAATCCCAAATAAACTATCTGTGTTCAGTGACTTGGCTACTGGAGAGCCAAAATATAGATGTTTGTGACTAAAATATTGTGATTATCACTTTTAACCCTTCAGCTGGAACTGTGAGAAATAATTTTTCCATACTCAAGCAAAATAGGAAAATTATCAGTACTTATGTATATTATCCTGTCAACCATGAAATTCATGTGGAATAGTATGATTTAGCATTATTTATGGATAATCGCAACATAAAGCACACTCATAACATCTGTACTTCTGTTTGATGGCAAATTGGCAATTGTGTTTTTGCCATTGTCTACATCTAAATATCTTGCTGTTCATACTGAATTTTCAGTTGTCAGCAAAGAAAATACAAATGCAGTAGTTTCCAAAGGAAAGGAAAGCTTAGCTTAGGAGTTATTTTTAAAAACTGTTGTAAAGCCAAAAAGATAGGCAATTGTATGAAATGTTTTACAATAATAATCAGAATTATTTGAAATTACATAGGATTTTTATTGTATGATATTTTTCTGTATTTTTCAAATGGGGCCACCATCACCCTTGCTACTTTTACAATCAATGGTATAATATGCAAGTGCTAACATTTTCCAGATAACTGTATCAATTACTGAGTTAAAATTCTGTGGTTATAGGAATCAACTGCACAAAATTCAAAACAAAACAAATTATGCTTTAAAGCGCAAAAATTTTTGTTTGCACATTAAAGCATAATTTGTTTATAATTATGATTTAATGCATAATTATAAACAACTTTGTCTGTAATAACTCTGTGTGGCTGTACGACTTTTAATCTGATCTTGACATTTGTTGCCAATTCGTATATACTGTCTTATTATTTAAAATATTTCTCTTTCATATTTTCTTTATAATCCAAGTAACATATTGATGATTACAGGTTATAAAAATAAAGTAAAGTTATTAATCATGCAAATCTCGCTGAAATGCCTGACTGCTAAAGATTTAAGGAATCGTTAATTACTGCTTTTAAAAATCAGTTTCTTTTATATCATTTAATATAGCTTCCATGCAGGCTTTTAAACATCTAAAGGGTTCACACGGTTCTTAAAAGTCCTTGGGTTTTTTGGAATTGATTTTTGTTCCTTAAAAGTCCTTAACTTCGACCTGGCAGAAGGTCCTTAATTTTAATCGTCTGAAGTTTCCGTCTGTTTTTATGACTGCCATTTTGAGTGTGAATAATCATTTTGGAGGAATATTTTTGGCGATTTATTGATATATATGATTATCTTTTGAATAGTTGAATGGGTTACAATTTGTTCCCATTTATAATATAAATGGTGGGATATTCGAGTTTCTGAGCAACATAAGCATTTTGAAATTATTTAATTTTTTTTAATGAAGAGCTCTTAATCAGGTTTTTGCTTTTGGATATATGAATTCTTTTATTAAATGGGTCTAAATCTGGTGACTTATCAACATCTTGACAATTTTAAGATCAGTTTCTAAAGAACATTTTTAATTCTGAGATCTGGGTGTTTTTCCATGATTTTTTTTAAAACATTGTAACATTGATAAATTTCATTAAAATAATGGCAATATATTGAAATTATTTAAAAAGTAACTTTAAAATAAAACATTTTTATTTTTTACTCTCTAGTTCAATTTTGGCCACTTATTATACAATATTTTGAATCTGAAAAATGAACAGGGTATAATGCTTTGAAGCACAATTTACGAAATGGTTCTTATCAAAAGCAAAATAGCTATGTAATTAATTAAATATGTCTGCTTTTTAATTTTTTCATGGTAAGAGTTTTTCCCTTGTAATTGTCTCAGAATATTCAGCATTCTCAGAATATGCATCAGTTTTCTCTATAAAATTAATGTTACACTTTTTCCCTGTGAGGTTTTTTTTTTTTTTTTTTACCCCTTCCCCCCCCAAAAAAAAAATATTTCTGGCTTTTTGCTGTTATAGAATTGGTAGGGGTAATTTTTTTTTTAGGATTTGAGGGCAAGATTTATAGATCCAGGATTCTTGAAGATTCCAGAAAGATGTGACAAAATGGAAAATGTCTCCATGGTATTAACACGTAATAGATGCATTTTATAGAAATTTTGTGATGAATTTTTTATGTTTTGAAGAATATCAGAAATTCCAGATGATTAAAACACAATATTTTAATGTTTCACTTCTGATTCTTTTCCCTTTATTTTTTCCACTTTTCACTAGACACCAGCATGAAAAATATCAAAAATACTTCTAATCTTATCACATGAACAGGCATTATAGAAAGGAATTTTTTTATTAATAAAGAAATTGAAAACTGACAATTTGAAAGTTCCATGCAATATGTCTTAGTGCATCATACACAAGGCTGGTGCTAGACATTTTCCCACATGATGCAATCTCTGTGGATCCTAAATTCTGCTTCCAATGCCTGCTTTAATTTCTAAAAGTTTTGCCATTTCTAGATTTTGTTGTTCGGTGTGTCACTAAATTCTAAAAATTCTGCCACATCAGCTCTGTAACCAGCCTTTACCATATCTATTTCATATTTCTTCTGAATGTTCATATTACTAAAATAAAATTAGCCGCATTTTCTCAACATTCTAAATGCATTTAGTGTTTTTTAGAATAACAGAAATCCTTAATTAAATCCAAAAATTCTAAAATGGAAAGGAAACATTTTTGAAGAAACTAAATACAAAAGAGAAAGAAAATTATTCTTCAAAGATATGTACAGTTATTATTATGTAAATTACCCAATTGTTTATAATTTCAGCTTTTATTGTAATTTCCAATTTCTATTTCGTCATCAAAATGCAAATCACTTAGACAGTTTTTAAACTGAGGTTTTTGGAGTGTAAGACAGAGTGTGTTTCTGACTTCTGCTTGCTCATTGCATTAGTTCCTGCCAGCTCTTATATTTTTTAACAGTAGAAGTCTAGAAATCTGCAAAGCTTAAGACCAGAGGTTTTGCGGATTTCAGGACAGAAAAGATAAATCATAATATTCAGACTAAAAGTGCAAAATAAATAAGGTATATTAGATACATTTAATTAAATTATTATATACATTATTGCAATAATTTATATGCATTAAATTATTATTATATATATAAATTGATTATATTATTCATTGTATTATATATACACAACATCAAGTTTTGCCAATTTTGCCTCGTGCAAAGATTTTCGATTTCGGATTCCGGTGTTAGAATCACTGTTACTGTAAAATTTCAACAGCTTTTCTTTATTTTTCTGTATATCGTACTCAATCGTATCGCAATTCCATATGATTCTGCTATAAACCGAGGAGTAGCACCTGTCTCCATCTTTTGCAGAATTTGCATTTTTTGCATTACCATCAATGCAACATGTTTACGTTTTTCAACGTTGCAAGCAGTAAAATCATGAATGCATTTCTTATCTGTAAATGTATTAAAAAAAGGGCTGAAATTTAAAACTATTCTAAATGTTATCCACAAAATATACAGACATAAAAAAAAGACAGCACTAAATAATCTCCTGAAATAACAAAGCTCAGAAAATACAACAGACAGACAACCAAAGTTGAAATATGTCTTGTTTTGCACCCGCTGAAGTCGTTTCTGCTTTTTTACCTCGATGCAGATTAGAAGGGAAAAAACTTTTATCATGATGTCAATAATTTGGTATTTCCATTATGACTCATTATTATTCAGTAATTATGACATCGTTATTTGGTATTTCGTACTCAATGTTGCGGTTTCCGGAACCTATAAACTGAATGTTTATATTTTGAGACGCAATGCGGATTTCAGGAGTTGGCAGATTTTTGGTATTTGACTGTATTTGTCTTTGCATTATCATTGCTAAAATTTAAATTAGTTATAATGATAGACTTACTGAGTCAGCTTAAATTAAAATTGAATTGTACAATCTTTGACCACTAGTCCACATTTTTAATTTGAATTTGACTGTTCTTGTTTAATTGCATCACCACGAGCTGTAATTGATTTTGTTAGCATATATGGCTTTATATTCGAAGTTCCTCTTATTTAAACTTTTGTTTGACTTTGTAGTTACTTTCAGACATAGTGATAATTTGCTTCACATCTGTTGGGGGAGGCGGTTTGGAGTTTGGACTATTTAACTTTTACCAGATCAAGTAAACACTCAAAGGTACATAGTGGAGAGGTTGACATGTTAGGAGATAAAGCATACATAACCTAGTAAGAACACTGGTTTGTGTATTGAGACAAATTTCTAATTGTTAGAAAAGATGCTTAAAGGGAAGGAAATCGATATAAATTAGCCAAAATGTCTGGGAAGGCTTTGAATTAACTCCTTAACTGCCGTGGAAAATGTTCAAGATTCACTCCTCAGTGCCACTGTTTTTCACACAGGCATGCATAGTTATGCGATGTATTGGAGGAAAATAAGTGCACGTTTTGCTGTCTAAAAACTGTTTACTTCCACAAAATAAAGAATAAAAAAAATAATTAAATGAAATACAAAATTTAATGTTTAGATTAAAAGTATAATGAAAAAGATGTAAATATAATAAAAATGATGTTTGTATAATTAAAAAGATCTCCAAAAATGGAGTTTTGATCAATTTACGGAGAAAGTGCAGAATCGCCCACTGCTTGGTGCATTTTTAAGAATTGCACATACTCGGTATCCATGTACACATCGACCTATTTTCACTTAAAAAAATTCCCAGAATTGCACAAAAATGGCATTGTGCCTTCCCTTGACTTTATGCATGTACACATTGACCTATTTTCACTTTAAAAGTCAAAGAAAATTGACAAAAATCCAGTTCTTCTTACTCTTGTAAAAAGCGCCAAACAAATAAGTGGGCAATTCTGCACTTTAACCCAATTTACTTTTAGATTAGTAAACTGTAATATCAGGTTTCAGTGTTATAACTTGTAAACTCAATGTAGCTAAATGGAAAGTGTGGAAGCGGTATAGGCAAATTTTTCATATCAAGTCGTACACAACGTCGAGCATCTTTTGGAGAATAGTCATAATCCTTGTAATCCTTGTCATCTGACGTAATAGCATATTCTGAGGTGTCTGGTTCTCAACATCACGGAAAGTAATCATGTATTTCTCTGTCATACATATTCGTAAAAAAATGCACCTATTACAAACAGTAAACAAAAACAGAAGACACAATAAAAAAAGTATGTTTTATTCAAACAGAAACACAAGCAATAACCGCACAATCATTACTTTAACCATTTCAGAAATATCTCTCCTCCAATTTCTCCCCCCCTTCTCTGAAATAGTAACCTAAATTGCATACTCTGTCAAGGTCATTGTGATGTTGCATTCCAAAGCTTTGTGAATAATTTTACTGGTAGCAACAAAAGCTAATGATAGCATATTAATTTAGATGTCAAACACAACAAAAATCAGCTTTATATTTTCAAATTTTCACGGGACTAGTTTCGATGGTTTTACCGAACCATCCTTCTCAGCTGCAAAAGCGCAAATGAACGAGATAGGATGTAGTGGTTAGATGAGAAGAGATAAGAAATAACGGACAAAAGTCAAGCTACTGGCGCCATCTGTTGATGAAACCAGAACTAAAACATAATTTCTTAGGCTGAAGGCAAAGATGGATTGGAATTAGGATCGTTAACTAGAACAGAAAGAATTTTTTTGAATGTGAAATGCCTCTAGAAAATCCAGTTCACTAATGGAAGATGTTTTTTGAATAATTTTGGCTACAGAAAAATTGAAAGTGTGATTTTCGGACCAACAATGCTGGGTAGCAGAAGACTTCTGTGTTTCCTTTTTTCTAACATATGCCTCATGTTCCTCGACGCGAAATTTTAAGGCTCTCTTAGTTTGGCCAATGTAAATTAAACCACACTGGCAAGAAATCCTGTAAATACCCCAGGAATTCATATCCGGAATGGGGTCCTTGAGTATAGAAGTTGGAATTTTATTGATGGGTATATAAACGAC